CCCAATTAACCTGTATCTGACCCCCACGCAAAAATCCTCCAGTCTTTCCCTCAGAAATTCCCAAAATTCCCCAAATTCTCCTTTTCCCGCCCAAAATTCCCCTTCCCTTTTGCCCATACTCAAAATGGCGGCGCTCGCACGACCCCGAGCATGGCTGAGGGGGGGACCCCCAAAAACACCCCCGGGACCCCCGAGTGACCCCGCCCTTTATGTAAATTACATGCAAATACAGCCATGACAGCCCCGCCCCTATGGTAAAATATGCAAACAAGGCGGGGCAATGTAAATAAAGATCGCTTCACAGAGCGCCACCAGTCAGCACCTGTGGCCTCACTGCGCCTGCGCCGTCTCCACCCGCGCGCTCTGATTGGCCGCTCCTCTCCTCTCTATGGCGGCCGAGCTCGCCGGAGCGGCTCCTTCCGTCTCTATGGCAGCCTCTCGCTCCCGCGGCCTTGCCGAGGCCTCGCCGCGGCTTTCCCGGTCCCCTCACGCCTCCCGTGCTGCCAAAACCCCGCGCTTCCCCCTCAGCACACCCAGCGCCCTCTGGCGCCATCTCCGCTGCCCCTCGTTGAGTCCTCCAGGGCGGCCGGAGCGCCACCGGAAGTTGAGGGCGCTACCGGAAGTACGCACGTGCTATAAAAGCAGCGCGCAGGCGCCCGCGGCCTCTTTCGGGCGCTCGGCGAGGTCGGAGCGGCGCGTGGGGGGCGGGCGGGTTCGGGCTGGGCCCGGCGTGGCTTTGGGGTTTTTTTGTTTTTTTTTTAAGGGTTTTTAGGATTTTTTTGGGGTCCCACCGCCCCCAATCCGTCCCGTTTTGTTCCCCTACAGGTTCCCAGGCCTCGGAGCCGCCATGGGCCGCCGGCCGGCACGATGGTGAGAGGCGTGACGTCATAGCGGAGGGGGAAGCGTGACGTTTCCAGCCGCTGTGACGTCACTGGGGGGGGTTTAAAGGGTCTGGGGTCGTCATGGGGGTGTTGAAAATGGAAATATTTAGGGGTCAAATGATTTGGGAGCGTTAAAAGTGGAATATTTGCTTAAAATGGATCTGGGGAGACGTCTTGAGTGGGTTAAAAATTGAATATTTGGGGCTTAAAAGGATCTGGAGGGTTAAGAAAAAGGAGTTTTGTGGATTTAAAGGGGTTTGGGGTCTTCAGGGTGAGACTCGGGGGATTTTTAGGGATCAGTTTTGAGGATTTGGGGAAGTTTTTTTGTGATCAGTTTTGGGGATTTTTTTTGGGATCGACTTTTGGGATTTTTCAGGATCTATTTTGCGGGATTTTTCGGGATCAGTTTGGGATTTTTTGAGATTTTTTTAACCCCTTCTTTCGCCCTTCTCAGTTACCGCTACTGCAAGAACAAACCCTACCCCAAATCCCGCTTCTGCCGCGGTGTCCCCGGTGAGTCCCGACCCCCCCCAAAAAAACCCCAAAAAATCCTCCCCCCAAAAAATCCCTCCCCTGACCCTTCCGGGTCTCGCCCCCAGACCCAAAAATCCGAATTTTCGATTTGGGGCGGAAAAAGGCGAAAGTGGATGAGTTCCCCCTGTGCGGACACATGGTATCGGACGAGTACGAGCAGCTGAGTTCCGAGGGTAAAAACCGCGATTTTGGGGAAATTCGGGTTTTTTTGGGGGATCCTTAAAAAGTCGGGGGTGATGCCGGGGGTTTGGGGGTTTTTTTTGGACCATTTCAGGGAGTTTTGGGAGGATTTTGAGGGAGATTTTGGGGTCTTCATGAGTTTTGAGAGGTTTTTGGGGGAGGTTGGGAATTATTTGGGGGATTTTGGGGAGGATTTTAAGGTGTTTTGAGGGGTTTGGGGAGCATTTGGGGGGTTTTTTTTGGGAGGGTTTGGGGCCCCTGGGTGAGTGGGATGAGTTTGGCTCCAAGGGTCAAGGGGGATTTTTGGGGTAGAAATCCCAAATTTTCCCCAAAACCCCTCAAATTTTCGACCAATCCCCTCTCAAAGTTTTCACATGAACACCCCGAATCATCATTTAAAACATTCAAATTCTCACGTAACAATCCCGAATTTTTACTTAAACCTTCAAACTTCCACCTAAAACCCCCAAATTTTCACCTAAAAACCCCAAATTTCCCCCGAACACCCCCCAATTTCCCCCTAAAAACCCCAGTTTTTCCTGTAAAA